ATAATTAATAAAAGTATAAGTATATTTTAGAATAATTACAAGGATGTGTTCACTAGCCGACGGACGAACGAGAACTCTGTCTCCGTGGCTCGCATCGGCGGTCAGCCTCATGTTTTTCGCTAAGTCATTTAGCTCGTCTTTCGTATCGAGAGGCGTTTATTGTTTATCAACTGCCTTATATCGGCTAATGTTTTGAAACGCCGATGTCTCGCTCGACCTAACCGTCTCGTTTTCTAACATTCGCAAATGTGATATTTTACTTCTACATATATATATTTATATATGTATATATATTTATATATATATATACAGGGTGTCTGGCAATAATCGCCCCACCGGTCATATACAGGTAGAGGAGGTCAAATCGAGTAGAAAAGTCCTTTACCATTTTTTAATTTTCATAATAAGTACTGAGTAATTAACGAAAAAGATCGGCGAATCTGCGCGAATAAAGCGCGCGCGGTGAGGACATCCCACTGCTATGCGATCACTAGGCGCGCGATGAAGCGTTGGGAGGAGCGCTCTACAAATGACAATGGCAACATACGAGCGGCGCGTAACGCTAGATTCTTGTGTCCTAGTGATCGCGTAGCAGTGGGACGTCCTTCTCACCGCGCGCGCTTTACTCGCGCGGATTCGCCGATCTTTTTTCGTTAATTACTCAGTACTTATTATGAAAATTAAAAAATGGTAAAGGACTTTTCTACTCGATTTGACCTCCTCTACCTGTATATGACCGGTGGGGCGATTATTGCCAGACACCCTGTATATAACATGTGTAGCTACGATGACGCAAATTCTTTTTTTTAGCATGGTTTTAGCATTTTATAATTTCTTCTATTTAGATCCAATTATTACAAATAATAAAAATAAAATATTAAAAATTCAAATAAAATTTTGCGTAAATTGTAAAAAAAATCTTATTCAAGATTTTGTGTAATAAGCATACAAATATTTATAAAATTATCACTGTCTTCAAAGATAATATTGCGATTTGAATAATGTATAAATTAGCATATAAAAAGCAAATATTAATTACATAATTTGCTAAATAATTATTTTAATGCCAAACTATATATTTTTTTTATTAATAATGTAAAACAAGAAACAAATTTATAAATAATTGTGTTATTAATTATGACAGTCTTTAAAAATGCTAAGAAATATTATATTTGTTTTAGTTATTAAAAACATCGGCTGGTTATATATCAGTTTTATTGGCACATCGGCAATGAAAACAAAAATCTACAAAATCTAACAATGCTGATATTAGAAATTATTTGGAAATATGACGAGTAACATATTTATATAATTATCATCAATACTTTTAAGTAATAAATATCATGTTTCCGTACAGCAATATATTACTGCTATACATTATTGCTACAACTCTCATCATATGCATTCTAATAATGTTGTGATTATTATTTTGATTTTAATAAAATATTTTTTAGGGTCTTTCGCGTATTATTAACATATTTAAATTTATATTGCATAAATCAATAACTTGGAGAAATAATTTTATTTGAAATTCGTGAAGCTGATTTACAATATAAATATATATAGCATTAAAATTTTTGCATGTTTAATAACAAATATATATTCTTGATACATTCATAATGTAGGTAGTTTGTAAGAAGTGTGATTGCATAATAAATTACATAAAATATCCCTAGATTAAAGTTTATATACGAACACAATATGCTAAAAAAATTAAAATAAATACAAATTAAATGCAATACCACGAATACGAAGATTAAGAATTTGGTTTAGAAATACATATATTAGTAATTAAAACATATATTAGTAATTAAACACTAAAAAAAGGTTGAAAAATTAGACTGAAATGTTTGTTAATGTAATGTTAGTTTGCAATGAAATGAAATTATAAGAAATATATCTAGCTTAGAGACCTTAGAGAAGCCTCTTTTTAGTAATTTAAATTATTATACATTAAATAGATCTTATATTGTTTTTTTAAATATATTTATTTTAACGTGTGTTTTCTCTTAGATAATAATTCAAAGTCGCAATTATTTTATACCACATTTTATTTTTAGTACATTACGTTTGCACTTGTATGCTTCTACTGCGCCAGACGAGAAATTTTGGTTACCCAAGAATATGCACATCTCATTTTTATTTATTTTATTTTATCACATGAATTAAGTTAAATTGAATGCAGAGCATATGAATTAAAGTGTTAATTAAGATACCTGTTCCACTCGAAAAAATTTATTTGGCATGCGATTTAATTGCGTATGTCATGCAAGTGCAAAGAAATTTACAAGGCCGTCTGCGATCTATCTACAATATTACACATTGAAGTCGAAGAAGGCAAAAAACTTATTGATTGTAATGATTAGTGCCCAAAAACTGAGCGAGCAACAAGAACCTGACCTACTTTAACATAACATAATCAAACCTAAATTTTTTTTAAGATTTAATTTCTCATATTCTACATTGCAGTCTACCGAAAATAGGGCAAATGATTGTATATTTGATTTTTTATCTTATTTGTAGTCAAATTGGGCTATTTCCACAAAAATACATCACAATTTACTCAATGTCATTCAATATTGCACGAGTAAATTGAATATAGATACAAGAAACAAGTGTTACACCTTAATCTTTAATTCAATATTACGTAATCGCGATCGGTGCGATAATTATTAACTGCAAAGATTGGGTAGCATATTAATGTCATTCACAGCTGTGTACATAAGTCAACGCGTATATAAATTGTACCGTGCACATTGGTCATTACTGTACTTGCTACGATTCACCAAGTGCGGCGTGAGAGCTAGACAATAACTGCAAAATGAGGCAACTAGCGTGCATCTTAATCGCCTTTGCGGTCGCTGGTAAGTTAAATATCAGAAACGTAATATTGTTTTTTCTCTCTTTATACGTAAGCCTCTAATGATTTTTACATAATTAAAAGTGCCTCATTTTATTCATTTACTTTAAAAGTATGCGTTATGCATCATCTTTATTTTTAAATATTTTATATGAAAATTATGCACATATTAAAAACTGTGCTGTTCTTTTTTTAATTTTATTCAATTTCAAGGAAATTATTAATATGTTGTATGATATATGGAAATTATTTCACACATTAATATACAATCGTATCTTACGTTACAGGAGTTTATGCAGAGGAGCCGGAAAGAATTGTAAATGGAATACCCACCACTGTGCAGGAGAATCCGCAAGCAATCTCCATTAGAGTTCAAAACAACCATTTTTGCGGTGGTGTCATAATTGCCCCGCGTTTCATTCTTACTGCCGGACATTGCGTGTTACCTTTACTAACTGACTCTTCTTTGAGGAATAGTTTAACCGTTGTTACTGGCACAACCTATCTCAATTCCGGTGGAAAAGCTCATAAAGTGTCAAGAATGTTCCTCCACGAGAGATACGATAGAAACGCCAGGGGTAGACCCAACGGTTACGACATCGGTCTGCTTGAGGTATACAATTTTGACATAATTTACATACGTATACCGCCATATACTATATCAGGGTTAAGCGAAATATGCTCTGATCGATTTTACAGTCCGGCTTGTTTTAAAATTTTCAGCTTTCCGCGCCTATCGAATTCTCGATAGTTCAACAAGCAATTAAACTTCCGTCGAGAGAACTGGTGCAAGGTGAAGATGTTACGGTAGTTGCCTGGGGTGCTATGGGTTTCAGAAAACCTGTGCATAACAACTTACAGAAATTGAATGCGAAATGCTTATCTGCTGCGGGATGCAGAACTTATCATCAACGCACGGGAATGCCTGTTAGTGACTTGGAGTTCTGTACTCTTATCAGTCAAGGAACTGGAACGTGCAATGTACGTAACCACATCTATGGACGGTATTCATAGTCATTTCTTATATTTAAGATCGTCTTAAGTCGTCGTCATCGTCATCTTAAGATACTAATATGGCTTTTTGATTGGTTCGTAGCATTTTAAGACAATATTTAAGACAATCTTAAATATAAGAACGGACTATGAATACCGGCCTATAATAGATTATCTTACAAGTGTGTGATTTTAATGTTGCACATTGCAGTATGATTTTAACTACACTGGATATTTGCAGCAAAATAGTTATTCGTTTAGAATCATCTTTTCTGTTATAATTAATATATAGCGCAAATTATTTTCTAATACATTATAATCAGATAACTAACAATATTAGCTTCTATAAGGAATAACAAAAAATTTCTTTTTTAAAAATTGAAGTCTTATGTGCTTCTATCCTGATTTCTGTCTCAATTATTCAAACAAATGTCACTAAATGATTTAAACTTTTCTCACTTGTTATTTCAGTAATAGAAAATAATACTGCTTCTAATTGTGCACGAGATAATTTAATCTTCATCTTTCTATGACAGGGTGACAGTGGTAGCGGAGTGGTTCGAAACAGCGATAGAACGGTTGTTGGTCTGGTCTCTGGTGGTCTCCCATGCGCTCTGGGTTACCCAGATGTATACACTAGTGTCTATCCATTCGTCGGTTGGATCAGACAAAAGATGGCGAGTTAAGTACATTCCTTCTCTCATGTATTGTATATCCTTAATATGTAATAAAGATTGTTGAGCATCTATTACGAGATATTATTTGCATGGTACTAATTGAATTTTTTTAATGCGCGCGGATGCGAGAATATTGTTCGTGTAGCGTCAGATAAATTCAAAAAACGTTTTATTTAAAAAAATATATACACACACATTTTTATTTAAAGTTATTTTTGACATTCAAACTTTACATTTTTATTGTATGAAATATTTAAGCTTAAATCTTTATTTAAAAAAAAAATTAATTTAATGTTTACAATTGACTCTTATCTGAAACGCATTGTTAGTTTGTCGAAAGAATTTGCGCGCGCGAATATCGAAAGATCAAAAAATATTTTATTTCTACAAGAGTTACCCCGCGCTACCTTTAAATATCGTGGACTAATTTTAACGTCTAAGAAAATAATTAATACGGAACAAAATTCTTGTGAACATTGGAATAATCATAGTTACAGAAATAATGAGTTTAATGAAAACAAAGTGCAATAAACAGAGAATTATATTTTAAACTTACATACATTGATTATACGAAGTGTCAAATATGATATCCCAAATGTAAAAACACCAACTTTTTTAATGAAAGATGCGACATCTTAATCACTATTAAAACAGGATTATAACATTCACAGTATTATTAAAACTAATCCGAACTTTGTAGTTGTTTAATCGACAGATAGAATACATTTTTTCTTTTATTTTAGTAATTTTAACATCTAAGATCATATAGAAGGGTTTTTAAATTGTCTCTTGTACGATGAATTAGATAAACAAATAAGTGAATATTACGAATCACCACTGAACGACAGATCAATACGACGCGATGTTCTTGCCACTGCTCCGCGCAAACAACTGTCGTGGAGGTACAACCTGTACTGCGTGTATCGAGGGGTTGAAGGTAGCCCCCATGAAATGCGCATGCTTTGATGTTGTCCAAATGGAAGGGATACTATATACGACATATTAAAATTACCCCACTGGGGCAAAAAAAGAAACTTTATTGCGATGGCCCTTGCATGCCGGCTGTAACGACATACCTATCACACGCGACTTCGCAAACTTTGGATGTATAGAAGACAGGGACATACTTTCGATTATCAGAAATAAAAAGCAGAGAACTCAAAAAAACTACATACGAAACAGAGTTGCAAATACTTTGACCGACATATAACGATTACGATTATACTTGCGAAAATTCAGAAAACTTCTTGACGTTATTAAAAAATTCTAAAATTTTGCTTAGCTAAAATATTTGTGTATGTGATTCGATTTATTATAATGCATTTCATATCGACGAGTTAATGCTAATTCGATTCACGTGAAATTATTTTTATATTCAGCTCATATAACAGCTACGTCCCTAGTTCACATTGTTCGTTTTACTTTTCCTATTTTCACTATTTTATGAGACGATAGCAACAATCCACCGATGTTTGCAACACATTCACAGTTCTCTACACGTTATAAAACGCTCACAGAGTTCACGAACCCTAATTGAACTTGACGCGCAACAGTTGGCACTTTACAAGTTCACGGGATATACTTTTTCCATGGAAGAGAGTAAAACTTTACGTACCTTTACACTTTCAAGCGTGCATACCGCCGAGTCAATGAGGTGTTTGCTATTATTATGTACTGCACAAGATGCAAATCGTTAGCTAAATGATTAAAACCATTGCGTATATTTAAATGATCAAAATATTAATTATGCGTTGATAATCTGTTTTGCATACATTGCCTCAATTAACTTCCGTCTTATGTACAAATTTATCGTGAGCTGTAACTCGTTTAGCGTTTTCGGCACGACTGCCTGTCCGGATCAGCAACAAGCTCGGTGACAATAGGCATTTACACGTACTTGTTCCACACATTAGCGTGAATCAATAAGAAAAAAAGTGGAAATGACTAAATAAGGCAATGTTTTGGACTTGTCTACATTCGCACACAAGCTCATATATGAAGGCTCGCCAATGCCCGACGCGAGACAAGGTGTTTGGATGAAACATCGCGAGATACAAGCCATTACTATTGAACTGGTTATGTTAAATAAAATTTATAATACAAATAAATTAATAGTAAAACAATTACTAATACGATCCGCTCCATAACACATACAAATCCTTTTGAGAATTTTTACTTTTTTGTACGCATAAATAAGAAGTAAATGTAAATTACAACGACACGAGAAAATTATTAATCGGACACTAAATTTGTTTGTCCAGGTAAATTTCGAATGGGTTACTAAACTGAATCTGACGCTGAATACCGTTGGCATATGACCGAATGTTCGTGTAAATGCGTTCGACAGATTCTTATCGGATTTGCGCGCGATGTTCTCTTTGCTTCTGTTCGTTTTCATTGACATGATTCCCGCAATGCATTCGCTAATGCGAACTCGGGGTGACATGATTGCAACGATATGTGTAATATTATTCTTGTAGCAAAAACAGTGCTATTTTTTATTATTTAACAATTCTATTTATTTAACTAAGATATTTTAAAGACTTTGCAAATAAACTGTTGTAAATGCATTTAATTTTGAATACTTTACATCCTATTACTGTCGTTCAATCAATGTATCATAAATACTACAAGAATACTTTCACTAATAATACGTTACTTAACAAAGTAAAACACAAGCGATACTCTGCCAATAAATATTCATAGAAAGTTGCTTATCTACATTTAGCAATTGCAAGATTTCTATCGTAGTGATTTACTAAAAAATAATAATTATAAACCTATATAACTCGAAAAAGAAATGCAATATAATTTAAATAAAGACATCAAAATTAAAGAATTTCTTGAATTATTGTAAGTAATTAAAAAAATTAAAGAAGTTTTGCAAAATAGATAGTCAATGTTATTACTTCTGCAGTTATTACTTCTTATCTACACCTTTGAATCTTGCCAGATACTTATAGAGACTAGTAATGAAATATATATATTTTATATGAATTATATTGCATATATATATGACATATATGTATATATATACTTATAGATATATATATACATATATGTGATATATTGAATTATATACATATGAATTATATACATATGAATTATATATATGATTTTTATAGAAGAACTAGAATGACCTATAGAAGTTAGTTTTTTTTTATTTTTTTTTTATTTTTTTATTTTTTTTTTTTATTTTTTTAAATTTTTTTTATTTTTTATTTTTTTTTTTTTATTAGAATAATTTAATAGATATGTGGAATAAACGGATGATTAGATTAATTGGATTAATATGTTTTTAGTGCCAATATATTAATTTTGTATTAATATATTAATTTTGTGTCAATATATTAATTTTGTATTAATATATTAATTTTGTGTCAATATATTAATTTTGTATTAATATATTAGATTGGTTAAAGTTTTAGTTTTAGTTTTGTACTAAAGTTTTGTACCATAAAACACACATATCACAGCTTGCTTGAGTTTGTTAAGTTATCTGGTCCAAGTATCCATGTGTAGAGAAGAAATTTCCTGAGAAGCGTCGGACTATCAGATCCTTTAAAGGATCCGATATATCTGTCGATATCCCGTTCTTATAAAGAAATCGTATCGACCATAATCACTCTTGAGAAATACTAGAGCAATATACTCACATTCTTACTCATAATTTTCCCCAATTTTATGTTAAACTTAATCATTATTTTGTCACATGAGCAAATATTTAATAAATAAAATCGTTATACTTTACAAATTTTCTTGATAGAAACATTTTAGATATCAATTTGTGATTTACAGAAGACTTGTTTAATACAAATTCTTAATTATCGATCTAAGTGATTCTTATAGATCACAAGATGATAGCCACCAAGCGGCCAAAATTTCAAAGTAGAAAGTATCGCACATTTTGGGATAGAATTATTGTTTTCCACGTTGAACAAAGAATCTCACTTGTTCACTATTTAAGTAATTTGTTTTCATTAAATTAACTCGCTTTAAGAATTTCGTGAATAAATAATGATAATTTAATATAATGATAAAGAAATTCACTATCACTTATATCATCGACGGTAGATAACGTGATTGTTTTCACGCAAATAATATGTTATCTCATTCTTATAATCGTGAAACCTATTGATTGTGTACGTGAAGTTTAGTGACCTACGACCATAGAAAGCGTTGTCTTACATCGTACATCGTACGTCGCTGTCGTATATCGTAGACATGTGATAATAAACGTGTTGAATAATATCTATTAATTTCTGCTGAAATTTCAAGATCGTGCTTTAAGGTTTACCAGTGATGCAATTATCCGATCATTTTATCAAAAGACCTACATCGATGTTTCTTCTTATTTTTATTAAATTATTTAAATCGCTAAATTGCAATATTGTTTCTTTTTTATATAAGAAATTATATTTTGACTTTTAATAAAGTAAGTATTATTTGATTCTCTCTTTGCATTTAACATCTTGGAGATTATGAACTCCATCACTATAGACTCGCCAAATTAATGAGGACAGTTTTGTAAATAACAGTTAATTAATAATGCAAAATACAACGTTGCTAATAAATGTATATAAAATTATTAGTCTTATTACTATATTATTAATCGCAATTTCGGGATATAATTCAAGTATAATTGTGATTTACTAAAAAAGAATAAAAATGGACTATATAATTCGTGCAAGAAAGTGCAATTATATGTATTAACAATTAACAATTAAACTAAAAATATTAACAAAATGTTAAAAATTTCTTTAATTGTAGAAAAAAATAGTCAATATTACTTCTTCTGTTATATTTTATTGTATGGTACGATACTAGAGCTGCCTGATTTTTGGAATTTGGAACATTTGACTAGCTATCACTCATCTATAGCACGCCATTTATATGGCATGTTTTTAATAAATAAATCAATAATAGCTAATTCTTATGACAGATAAGAGATTCTACTCCAGCTGCTATTTTAGATTCTTTCCCAGAGAAGTATTAGACTATTCAGACTCTCTGTAGTGGATCCTCTTATATAAAGACATCAAATTGAGCACGATCGCTTTCGAGAAAC